CGCGGCAGAGACAGCGGTGGGTGCAGCAGAGCGGGATTACTGAGCAGCAGGAGTGTGACGCCCGGCTGGCACAGGATTGGCCACGACCTCCTCCTTGGGGTTAGGACACGCGGCAGAGACAGCGGTGGTGCAGGCGCGCTGTGCATCGAAAGATGGAGCCGATCGATGAGGAGCCGGGGGCGCAACGTCTTCGCCTGCTTTTGCTTTCGGTGCTGATGGACCAGCAGTTGGGGGATGATTATCTCCATGTAAATGTGCTGTAGATTTTTTAATGATCCTCTCCTTTTTCTTTTTGTCAAAAGAAATCTGCTGCTCTCTAAAAGAAAAGTTAAAATATCTATTTATTTATTATTCTTATCTGTTTTTTNGTTTTTCGACGATCAGAAATTCTTCCGAGCGTTTCTCGGCGATCAAGAAGCCTTTATAGAATACTTTGACAATTGATAACCCCTTCAAATGTTACATGCTAATCAAGAAGCCCTCGGAGTGTTTTTTGGCGATCGAAAAGCCTTCTAAATGTTTTTTGACGAACGAGAAACCCTCCGAGCGTTTTTTGACGATCGAAAAGCCTTCCGAGCGTTTCTTGACGATCAAAACGCTTTTTTAGATTCCTTTAGCAATTAAGAAGCCCTCCAAATGTCAGATACCATTCAAGAAGCCCTCTAAGCGTTTTTTGACCATCGGAAAGCCCTCTGATTGTTTTTAAACGATCGAGAAGCTCTCCGAGCGTTTTTTTACGATTAAGAAGCCTTTCTAGAATTCTTTGGAGATTGATAAGCCCTTCTAAAGTCACATGCCGATCAAGAAGCCCTCCGAATGTTTCTTAATGATCGAGAGAATTGCCAAGTGTTTCTAGTCGACCGAGAAGCCCTCCGAATGTTTTTTGGTGATTGAGAAGCTCTCTGAGTGTTTCTTGATGATCGATAAGCCCTCTGAGCGTTTTTCGACGATAGAGAAGAATTCTCATAATCTTTTAACAATCGATAAACCCCATATATGGAACATGCCAATCGAAAATGCTTCCGAGTAATTCTCAACGATCGAGAAGGCCTCCGAATTTTTCTTAACGATCAAGAAGCCCTCCGAGTGCTTCCCGGCGATCGAAAAGCCCTCCGAGTGTTTCTCGACAATCAAGAAGCCCTCCGAGTGTTTTTTGACGACCAAACAGCATTCCAAGCGTTTCTCGACGATCGGGAAACCTTCTAAGCGTTTCTTGACGATCAAGAAGCCTTCCCACAATCCTTTGACAATCGATAAGCCCTCCAAATGTTACATGCTAATCGAGAAGCCCTCCGAGTATTTCTCCACGATCAAGAAGTTCTCCGATTGTTTCTTAACGATCGAAAAGCTCTTTAAGCCTTTTCTCGACGATCGAGGAGCCTTCTTTAAATCCTTTGATGATCAATAAGCCCTCTCAATGTCACATGCCGATCGAGAAGCCCTTCGGAAGCTTCTCGACGTTTGAAAAGCCCTCCGAGTGTTTCTCGACGATAAAGAAGCCCTTCGAGCTTTTCTTGACGTATAAGACACATTCTGAGTGTTTCTTAACGATTAAGAATCTTTCTAAGCGTTTCTCGACGTTTAAAAAGACTTTTTAGAATCCTTCGACAATTAATAAGCCCTCCAAATATTACATGCCGATCTAGAAGCCCTCCGATCGTTTTTCGATGTTTAAGAAGCTCTCCGTTTGTTTCTTGGCGATCGAAAAGCCCTTTTAATGTTTTGTCGACGATCGAGAAGCCCTCCAAGCGTTTTTCGACAATCGAGAAGCATTCCGAGCATTTTTCGACGATCAAGAAGTTTTTCCAGAATCCTTTAGCAATTGATAAGCCGTTCAAATGTCAAATGCCTTTCAAAAAGCCCTCCGAGCGTTTCTTGACGATTAGAAAGCCCTCTGAGAGTTTAAAACAATCAAGAAGCTCTCCGAGCATTTGGTGACGATCAAGAAGCCCTTCAAATGTTTCTCAATGATCGAGAGGATTGCCGAGTGTTTCTAGACGATTCAAAAGCCCTTCGATTGTTTCTCGACGATCGAAAAGCCCTTCAAGCGATTTTTGACGATCGAGACGCCCTTCGAGCATTTTTTGACGATCAAGAAGCCCTTTGAGCGTTTTTTGATGATCAAGATGCTCTCTGAGTGTTTCTTGGCGATCAAGAAGCCCTCTCAATGTTTTTCGGCGATCGAGAAAACCTCCGAGGGTTTTTCGACGCTCGAAAAGAATTCTTACAATCCTCTGACGATTATTAAGCCCTCCAAATGTCACATGCCAAACGAGAAGCCCTTCAAATGCTTCTCGGCGATTAAGAAGCCCTCCAAGTGTTTCCCATCGCTCAAGAAGCCCTCCGAGTGTTTCTTGACGATTAAACAGCATTCCGAGCGTTTCTTGAAAATCAGGAAGCCTTCTGATCGTTTCTCGACGATCAAGAAGCCTTCCTAGAATTCTTTGACGATCGATAAGCCCTCTAAATGTTACATGCTAATCGAGAAGCCCTCCGAGTATTTCTTGACGATCGAGAAGCCCTCCGAGTATTTGTTAACGATCGAGAAGCTCTCCAAGCGTTTCTTGACGATCAAGAAGCCTTTTAAGAAGTCTTCGACGATCGAAGAGCCTTTTAAATGTCAATTCTAAATTTTAAAGAAGCCCTTCGAGTGCTTCTTGACGGTCGAAATGCCCTCCGAGTGTTTCTCAACGATCAAGAAGCCCTCCGAGCATTTCTTGACGTATGAGAAACATTCCGACTGTTTTTTAACGATCGAGAAGCTCTCCAAACGTTTTTCGACGATCGAGAAGCCTTTTTAGAATCCTTTGACAATCGATAAGCCCCATAAATGTCACATGCCGATCGAGAAGCACTTCGAGTGCTTCTCGACGGTCGAAAAGCTCTCCGAGCGTTTTTTAACGATCGAGAAGCTTTCCGAGCGTGTTTCGACGATTGAGAAGCCTTTCCAGAATCTCTTGACGATCGATAAGCCCTCCAAACGTTATATGCCGATCGAGAAGCCCTCTGAGTGTTTTTCGACGATCGAGAAGCCCTTCAAGCGTTTTTTTGATGATCGAGAAGCCCTCTGAGTGTTTCTCGGCGATCGAGAAGCCTTCTAAGTGTTTTTCGACGATCGAGAAGCCCTCCGAGCGTTTTCCGACGATCGAGAAGCCTTCTGAGCGTTTCATGACGATGAAGAAGCCTTTCCAGAATCCTTTGGCGATTGATAAGCCCTTTAAATGTCACATGCTGATCGAGAAGCTCTCCGAGCGTTTTTTGACGATCGAGAAACCTTCCCAGAATTCTTTGACGATCGAAAAGACGTCCAAATGTCACTAGCCGATCGAGAAGCCCTCCGAGGGTTTCTCAATGATCGAGAGGATTGCCGAGTTATTTTTGACGATTAAGAAGCCCGCCAAGGGTTTTTCGACGACTGAGAATTCTGCCTAGAGTTTCTTGACGATCAAGAAGCCAAAACAAGACTTTCAATGCTCGGCATATCATTTATGTTGAAACTTGTATTGTTACTTTTATGAGACTTGTTTTGAGACTTATTTTGAGACTTGTTTTGAGACCCGTTTTAAGACTTATTCTGAGATCTGTTTTGAGACCTGGTTTGATATATGTTTAAAGACCTGTTTTGAGATTTGTTTCAAGATACGTTTTGAGACCTATTTTGGGACCCGATTTGAGACCTGTTTTGATACCCGTTTTGATACTTATTTTGATACCTGTTTCGAGACTCGTTTTGAGATATTTTTTCAGACCTGTTTCGAGACTTGTTTCAAGATTTGTTTTGAGACCTTTTTTAAGATTTGATTTGAGACCTGTTTTGATACCTGTTCTGATACCCTTTTTGAGACTCATGTTGAGACTCATTTTGAGACCTGTTTAGAGACTCATTTAAGACTTTTTTTCAGACTCGTCTTGAGATTCATTGTAAGACTTGTTTTGAGACTTATTTTAAGACTTGTGTTGAGACTTGTCTCAAGATTTATTGTAAGACTTAATAACAATTTATTAGTAATAAAATAGGTAGCTTTAGGTTTACATAGATCATATAATATAGAAACTTATACTCTCTGAGCCACTGACAGCGGTATTAGCCATAAACTTTTACAATGAAAGCATTGATAAATTAAAACAAAATTTTAAACTTTAAAGGCACTGTTCAAAATTATTGCCGTGTTGTTCTATGAGACATCGCAACCTCTTGTCGATATTCATAATAGCTCTGCGAATTTCAGCTGGAGTTATTGCTGTGCATTCCCGTCGTATCCTCTCGATAATGTTTTCCGGTGTTGTTGCGGGAGTCTGGTAGCATCGTTCTTTTAACACACCCCATAACCAAAAATCCAAGGGTGTTAAATCTGGACTTCTTGGAGGCCATGCACGAGGTCCATTTGTTCCTATCCAGTGACGTGGGAAAATCTCATTCAATTGATCTGTGGCGAGTGCACTATTATGCGCTGGGCAGCCATCTTGCTGCCACCACATTTCTGCCACAGGTACAGGATTGCCACGCAACAAATTCGGAAGGTCATGAACAAGGAACTGCCCATACATTCTGCCAATCAAATTTCCTTCAAAAAAAATGAGGACCAATAATCCGATCACCAACTATTCCAGCCCAAACGTTGACTTTCCAGCGACGTTGATTTTCAACCTCATGGATATCATGAGGATGCTGACCTTTAATGGCCCAGTTCCTTTTATTTTGAGAGTTCAAAATCCCTTGCTGTGTGAAAGTTGATTCATCCGTCCAACAAATGCGACTGCAAAAATTTGGTTCTCGCCTTAGTCTTCTTGACAACCATCGAGCGTATAACAATCTTCGGTCCCCATCGTTCTCATGCAGTTTTTGAACTTTCCTATACTTGTACGGATGCCTCGTTTCCTTAACGAATAACCATGTAGTTTTAAGAGGAGCATCTATAATTTTTAATCATTTAAATAATAGTAAGGATAATACGTACACGTAAAAATTCAATGCTCATACAATTAATAAAAAAATATCACTTAAAATTTTCATTGAAAGCGGAACAATAGGAAATCGTGTCATATTTATCCGCTAAAAAGCACTCTATTCAACTCAACAAGCGAATTGGTAGTTTTCGTCACGTAAGCGCCATCGCCGCCAGGGCTATTGACATTTTTTACGACATTTCTTGCACCGAGGGCCCAGTGACCGTGCTGGCTAGATGCACTTTTTAAAAACTAGCCAAATTTTTGATCGTCGAGAAATGCTCAGAAGGCTTCTCGATTGTCGAGAAACGCTCGGAGAGCTTTTTGATCGTTGAGAAATACTCGGAGGGTTTCTTGATCGTCGAACAACGCTCGGAGGGCTTTTTGATCGTTGAGAAACACTCGAAGGGCTTCTCGATAGTCGAGAAACACTCGGAGGGCTTTTTAATTAGCATGAGACATTAGGACGGAACATCGATAGTCAAAGGATTCTAGAAAGGCTCCTGGATTTTCGAAAAATGCTTGGAAGGCTTCCCAATCGTCGAAAGACACTCGGATGGTTTTTTGATCTTTGAGAAACGCTCGGAAGGATTTTTGATTAACGTGAAGCGCACGGAGGGCTTTTTGATCAACATGTGATATGTGAAGAGCTTATTGATCGTCGAAGGATTTTGGGAAGGCTGTTCGATAGTCTAGAACTGTTTGGTAGGCTCTTTAATCGTCGAGAAACACTCGGAGGGCTTCTTGATCGTCGAGAAACGCTTGGAGGGCTTCTTTATCGTTGAAAAATGATCAAAAGGCTTCGCAATGGTCAAGAAACATTCAGAGAGATTCTTGATCGTTGACAAATACTTAGAGGGTTTTTCGATTGGCATATAATATTTTGAGGGCTTATCGATCGTCAAGGGACTCTGGGACGGCGTCTTGATCTTAAAAAAATGTTCGGAAAGCTCTCTAATCGTCAAGAAACACTCGGAGGGTTTTTTGATTGTCGAGAATTGCTCACAAGGCTTTTTAATTGTCGAAAAACGCTCTGAGGGTTTCTTGATTTTTAAGAAACACTCGTAGGGCTTTTTGATTAGCATGTGACATTGGGAGGGCTTATCGATTGTCAAAGGATTTTGGAAAGGCTTCTCGATCGTCAAGATACACTTAGAGAGCTTTTTAATCGTTGAGAAACATTCGGAGGGCTTTTTGATCGGCATGTGTTATTGGAAGATCTTATCGAGCGTCAAAGGATTCTGGAGAGGCTTTTCGATCTTCGAGAAATGGTCAGAAGGATTTCCAATCGTTGAGAAACACTTGGAGGGTCTCTCGATCGTCGAGAATCGCTCAGAGAGCTTCTGGATCGTTGAGACATATTTGGCGAGCTTTTCGATCAGCATGTGACATTTGGAGGGCTTTTTTATCGTCAGAGGATTCTAAATAGGACTCTTGATCTTTGAGAAATGCTTGGAAGGCTTACTAATTGCCGCGAAACACTCGGAGGGTTCCTTGATCGTCGTTCCTTGCTCAGAAGGCTCTTTGATCGTCGAGAAACACTCGGGAAGTTTCTTGATCGTCAAGAAACACTCGGAGAGCTTTTTGATTGGCATGTGGCATTAGGACGGCTCATCAATTTCTAAAGAATTCTGGGAAATTTTCTTAATTCCGAGAAATGTTCGAAAAGCTTCCTAATCGTCAAGAAACACTTGGAGAGTTTCTTGATTGTCGAGAATTGTTTGGAAGGCTTCTTGATCGTCGAGAAACGCTCGGAGGGCTTTTTGATTGTTGAGGAACACTTGAAGGGCTTCTCGATCGTCGAGAAACACTTGGAGGGCTTTTTGATCGGCATGTGACATTAGGACGGCTCATTGATCGTCAAAAAATCCTGGGAGAGCTTCTTGATCTTCTAGAAATGTTCGGAAAGCTTCTAAATCGTCGAGAAATATTTGGAGGGTTTCTTGATCGTTGAGAATCGCTCGGAAGTCTTTTCGACTGTCGAGAAACACTTGGAGGGCTTTTAGATCGTCGAGAAACACTTACAGGGCTTTTTGATCGGCAAGTGACATTAAAAGGGCTTATAGATCGTCAAAGGTTTCTGAGGAGGCTTCTCGATCTTCGAGAAATATTTGTAAGGATTCCCAATCGTTCAGAAACACTCGGAGGGTTTTTTGATCGTCGAGAAACCCTGAGAAGGCTTATTGATCGTCGAGAAATGCTCGAAAGGCTTTGCAATGGTCGAGAAACATTCAGAGAGCTTCTCGATCGTCGACAAATACTTAGAGGGTTTTCCGATCGGCATATGACATTTTAAGGGCTTATCGATCGTCAAAGGATTCTGGAAAGGCTTTTCGATCGTTGAGAAATGCTCGGAGAGCTTCTTAATCGTTGAGAAACATTCAGAGGGCTTTTCGATCAGCATGTGACATTTGGAGGGCTTTTTCATCGTCTGATGATTTGAAAAAGGCTTCTTGATCTCTGAGAAATGCTTGGAAGGCCTACTAATTGCCGAGAAACACTCGGAGGGTTCCTTGATCGTCAAGAAACGCTTGGAGGGCTTCTTTATTTTTGAAAAATGCTCGAAAGGCTTTGCAATGGTCGAGAAACATTCAGAGAGCTTTTTGATCGTCTACAAATACGAAGAGGGTTTTTCGATTGGCATATAATATTTGGAGGGCTTATCGATCGTCAAAGGATTCTGGAAAGGCTTCTCGATCGTCGAAAAGCGCTCGGAGAGCTTCTTGATCGTTGAGAAACATTCAGAAGGCTTCTCGATCAGCATGTGTCATTTGGAGGGCTTATTAATCGTTAAAGGATTCTGGGAAGGCTTCTTGATCGTCGAGAAACACTCGGAGAGCTTTTTGATTGGCATGTGATATTAGGACGGCCCATCAATTTTCAAAGAATTCTAGGAAGGTTTTTTGATCTTCGAGAAATGTTCGAAAAGCTTCCTCATCGTCGAGAAACACTTAGAGGGTTTCTGGATTGTCGAGAATTATTTGGAAGGCTTCTTGATCGTCGAGAAACGCTCGGAGGGCTTTTTGATCGTTGAGGAACACTTGGAGGGCTTTTCGATCGTCGAGAAACACTCGAAGGGCTTTTTGATCGGCATGTGACATTGGGAGGGCTCATAGATCGTCAAAGGTTCCTGAGGAGGCTTCTCGATATTCGAGAAATGTTCGAAAGGATTCCCAATCGTTGACAAACACCCGGAGGGTTTTCTGATCGTCGAGAAACCATCAGAAGGCTTCTTGATCGTCAAAAAATGCTCGAAAGGCTTTGCGATTGTCGAGAAACGTTTAGAGTGCTTTTTGATCGGCATGTGACATTAAAAGGGCTTATCGATCGTTAAAAGATTCTGGAAAGGCTTCTAGATCGTCGAGAAACGCTCGGAGAGCTTCTTGATCGTTGAGAAACTCTTGAAGGGCTTTTTAAACGTCGACAAACACTCAGAGGGCTTCTCGATTGTTAAAAAAAAAAGTTAGGAGGGCTTCTCGATCGGCATGTGACTTTCGGAGGGCTTAGTGATCGTCAAAGGATTCTGGAAAGGCTTCACGATTGTCTTAGAATGCTTGGAAGGCTTTTTAATCAACGAGAAGTGCTCGGAGAGCTTATTGATGGTCGAAAAACACTCGGAGGGATTTTTTATCGTCAAGGAACACTCGGAAGGCTTTTTGATCGGCATGTGATATTTGGAGGGCTTATCGGGCGTCAAAGGATTCTAGGGAGGCTTTTCGATCTTCGAGAAATGCTCGGAAGGATTTCCAATCGTTAAGAAACACTTGGAGGGTCTCTTGATTGTCGAGAAACGCTCAGAAGGCTTCTTATTCGTCGAGAAACGCTCGGAGGGCTTTTTAATTGTCGAGAAACGCTCGAAGGGATTCTTGACCGTTGAGAAAAGCTTGAAAGGCTTTGCGATCGTCAAGAAACGATCGGAGAGTTTATTGATCGTTTAGAAAAACTTTAAGGGCTTCTTGATTGTCGACAAACACTTAGAGGGCTTCCTGATTGGCATGTTATATTTAGCGGGCTTGTCGATCGTTGAAGGATTCTATAAAGGCTTCTTAATCGTCGAGAATCGCTTAGAATGCTTTTCGATCGTTGAGAAATATTTAGAAGTCTTTTCGATCGGCATGTGACATTTGGAGGGCTTTTTGATCGTCAAAGGATTCTGGAAAGGCTTCATTGATGTCGAGAAATGCTCGGAAGGCTTTTTAATTGACGAGAAGTGCTTGAAGGGTTTATTGATGGTCGAAAAACACTCGGAGGGATTTCTTATCGTCGAGAAACACTCGGAGAGCTTTTTGATTGGCACGTGACATTAGGACGGCTTATCGATTTCCAAAGGATTTTGGGAAGGCTTCTTGATCTTTGAGAAATGTTTGGAAAGCTTTCCACTCGTCGAGAAACACTTGGAGGGTTTCTTGATTGTCGAGAAACGCTCGGAGGGCTTTTTGATCGTTGAGAAACACTCGGAGGGTTTCTTGATCGTCGAGAAACGCTCGGAGGGTGTTTTGATCGGCATGTGACATTAGGACGGCTCATCGATCGTCAAAGGTTTCTGGGAAGGCTTTTTGATCTTCGAAAAATGTTCGGAAAGCTTCCCAATTGTCGAGAAA